TCCATATTTGCACAGAAGAAACACAGGAAGGAGCCAGGCAGTGGTGGCACACTCCTTCAATACCAACACTGGGGAGGCAGAGGCAGGCAGATCTCTGAGTTTAAGGCTAACCTGATCTACAGTGCAAATTCCAGGACAGCCAGGGCTACACAGAGAAACCTGTCTTGAAACACACAGGAAGGAAACAGGACAGGGCAATGAGACGTACGCCATAGGAAGTGGGTGGGAATGGGGAAGTAGGAGAGGGAAGAGGGCAGGAGGGAGTTCTTACTTCACCCAGTATGCCCGCATGGCCAGCCCTAGGACCCATTTAGTAAAATCAACCACTAGTCTGGGTGCTGTTGAGGGAATTTGGGGAGTATGCTTAGCATTCACAATCCAGTGAGTAATCCTGGTGATGTGTGTGGGTCTTACCTGGCCCACAGGAAGAAATTCCACCCTGAGGCTTACAGTCCACATATCTGCAAGCCTGCTGCTTGCCCCCTGGATTCTGCAACCATGTAGGCCAATTCTTTCATGTACATGTGTGTATGCTCATGTGTGAGTGTGTGTTTGTGTATGTGAGTGTGTGTTTGTGTGTGTATGCCACGGATATATGGGTATCTAAGGAGGCCAGAAAAGGGTGTCAGATCCCCTGAAGCTGGGATTACAGGCAGTCATAATGTGGATGTAGTTAACCTGACTTGGGCCCTCTAGAAGAGCAACAAGTGTTCTTAACCATTGAGCCATCTCTCCAGTACTCCAGCTCTTTTTGAAAAAAGTATTATTTTCGTTTTGGTGTCTGTGTGTCTGTGTGTCCATGAACCCAGGGGCCTGAGCAGACAGCTGTCTTCCTCTCTTGCTCTTCCATTTGTTCCTTTGAAACACGGTTTCTCATTGAGCCTGGTTCCCTTCCTATTTCTTCCATCAACTAAGCCAGCAGCCAGTAGCCAGCAAGCCTCCTGTCTCTGTTCCCTCCACTGCTGGGGTTACAAGTGGGTGCAGCCATGTGTGGCTTTTTCAGTGAGGCCCTGGAGATCCAAAATCAGGTCCTTATATTTTCACAGCAAGTGCTCCAACCCACTGAGCCATCCCCCGAGTCCCATACACCAGCTCTTAAAGTCCCTACAAAGAGGAGTTAACCATGCTTTCTGCTAGCCCTGTGCAGTTACACTGGTTCCGTCTAATCCTGCGTCTGCATGTGTACACACACGTATGCGTGTGCACAACATGGGGTGTCTATGTGTGGGCTCTAATATGCATGTCTGGGTTCCTAAATCTCACACCCCGATAGAAGCAATGAAGGGTCCTTGAAGAAATGGCTGATTCCTAGCCTGGGTCTTAAAAGATAAATCTGTAAGGCAAGGAAGTGCTCAGACAAGGACCGGTATTGGTAAAGAGCAAAAGTCATTTTGAAAGTCCTGCAGTGAAAGAGCCTGCATCAATTTAGGGAGGTCTGGATTAACCCTGTCCACCTGAGTAATCCAGAATGATCTCTGTAGATCTCGGGCTCCTGTCTTCAGTTCCACCTCAATGTAACTCTCCCTCACCATGGAACACAACAGGCACACAGGGCCCAGAGATGAGGGCAGGAACATGATTGGGGCCATCATTGTAGATCGCAGACCTGGAGCTTGCAGGCCCTAGACGATCTGTTGGGTTGCTGCTGTGATGTGAACTCTCCCAGCTCACAACCGGGATGTTCTGACCTTGATCACGTCTCCTTGGCCTGGTGCTAATCATTGCTATTCCTATTTTCACATCTCCTGGTGTTAATCATTGCTATTCCTATTTTCACATCTACAGCCCACGGCCCCTGCTTCCTCAGAACATCCTTGTGCCACTGCGGCCCTGTCATCTCTAGCAGGCTTCCCCTAGCTGTCAGTCTGCATGTGCGAGCAATCACTGATCTGTGGGGCGTAGGCAGTGAGTGCTTTTCCTCAGGGCCCTACTGTGTCTTCCCTGGATCATAATAAACACAACTTTCATTTAAATACAAACTGCTCAGCTGAGACAGGAAGCCAATTAGCCCCAAGAACAGGCTGTTCTGATTTTAACAACCTGTCCCTTCTCCTTTTCCAACTCTGATTCATTTCTCAGTGTAGAAGAGAAGGCCAGATGTCTCCAAGCAGCCCAGAAGGGCACAATGGATAAAGACCCTGAGTGGTCCTCCACTGCATGCTTTGAGGCTTGCCCTGGGGGCCTCTGAACACCTGTGTTTACAGGGATGTAGGTCCTGAGCTGAAGGACCTGAGTTCATATAGCTCATCTGAGCTGGGGACAACTTTCCATCCTGGGCTTGGACAGAGGAGATGCATTAATTCAAATCTTAGTTTTGTACCGTGTTTGCAGACATCTCATACTGTGATTGGTTTTAACCATCAACTTGACACAACCTAGAATCACCCGGGAACAGAGTCTTAACTGAGGCATGGGCCAGATCAGGTTGACCTGTGGGGGAGAATCATCTGGGTTGTTAATTGATGTAATAAGATCAAGCCCACTGTGGGAGGCACCATTCCCTAGGCAGGAGATTCTGAACCATAGAAGAGCAGGAAATTGAGTTGAGCACAAGCAAGAGAGCAAGCAAGCATGCATGCATCCATTTCTCTCTGCTCTGACACCGGGTGTGATGTGAGTAGGGTGTGAAGTTCCTACCTTAACTTCCTACAGTGATCACTGTGTCCTGGGACTGTACGCCAAATAAGCCCTTTTCTCCCCTTTTCATCAGGTTATTTTAATCACAGCAACAACACAGAACTAATTTTCCCATTTTTGACTTCCTAGGTAGAGACTGTCTTCAACAGTGTGCATAGACCTCAGACTCTGCTGGGGCAAAGACCTCACAGGGAAGAAGGCAAAGCCTCTGTCCTCAGAGAGCAGGGAAAGACAAGGCCACTGCCCTCACTTAGTAAGAGGAGCCTCTGCAGGTCAGGGAGGGCTCGAGGGGTGAGACAGTCTGAACCCAGGCTCATGAGGGAAAGTGGGTCCCACGCCGTGAACCTGAGCTCTGCACCCCATGCTCTCCAGCCTTCCTTCAGAAGGGATGCTCTGGAGCTCATGCCAGGGTCTTATCCCACAGGACATGTCTGACCTTCAGCAGGAACCCAGTCTAGCCTGTGTCTCTGGAGACATCACCAAACAGTCTCTTTCTGAATGATACTGGCTCCCCCTTTGCCCTGTGGAGACTTTCCCAAAGGAAACTTCCTGTCCCTCTGCTCTTCCTGTCTATGGATCACCCAAGACTCCCTCTCTTTTCTCTCGGGCACTGGAAGAAAGTGCCTGTTATCATAGGGCATTGAGACTACACACCTAATGTGTACTGTACTGTGTGACGGAAGGAAACCCTGTTCTGTGGAATGGCCTCAGTCAGCTTCAGAATCCTCTCAGACACCAGGCAGCCTGTCAAGCTGGGTCACAGTTCATCACGAATCCCTTCCTTGTGCTACCAGAGAAAAGTCTAGACAGATCTCTGAGCTTCACTAACTTGTAGTTGACTAGATTACATGATTTGGAGGCAATAGAGCTGGGTTCCCGTGAGCTTAGCTGCAGACAGCCATTCTGCTGTGTGGTGGTAACTGCTGCCTAGATAACTTCCCAGGGACCCAAGGGCTGTCTGCTGACAACACTGACTTCCCATGACCTGTAGATGTCAAGGGTCTAGATCTGGAAGGGAGGATTGACGTCTCTGCCTCCATATTGCATCTGTCTCCTTTGCTGCTTCAAGCTCTGGGTCAAATTCCACTTAGCTCTATACGTGGACATATGTGGATCATTTGAACAGTGTTTTGCTCAGGCCGTGGTATTGAGTGAACTTGACCCAGATTTGCCTGGGTGCTCATTTTCCTTTTGAGGCTATAGACACCTACCAGCCTCTCTGACTAGAAACTAGGAAAGAAGGAAGAGGAGGAGGGAAAGGAGGTGGAGGAGAGAGAGAAGGAGGAAGAAGAAGAGGAGGAAGAGGGAAGGGAGGAGGAAGGAGGAGGAGACAGCTGCAGTGGTGGCGTCAGCAGCAGTATCTGAATTTCTAGAAGAGTGTTGCCAATTCCCAGAAAAGACATGAGCACCCCCCACTCTGTCTCTTATCAGTCTCTCTCTTTGTTGACATTCCTGCCCTGACTCCCTGCACTGGAGAAGCTGACCCCTCTTTTTTTTCTTCTGTTCTATGGCTGAGAGTCAAAGGCTTTCTTCATCTCTAATGCTCATCTCTTGAACACTTACTGTCTGAGGGTGTTGTTTCTAGACCTGGGTTCTGTAATACTCTAACCCCAGATGGAGCTGGCAATACACACACACACACACACACACACACACACACACTCACCTACTTACCCCCCAGTGCCCCAGGGTGCTTCCAACCCCACACAGCGAAGTAGAAACAAAGCCTAGGAAATGCACCATGGACATGGACACACCAAGCTTTGATCCTTGCTCTTGCTGGGGGAAAGGCCCTGCCAGGGAGAACCTCCTAGCTTGCTGTGGGGTGACTGGGGTCTGAGAGACTGTGAGCAAACACTGTGGTCAGAAAAAGGGCCTTTGGGATGAAAATCTGAGTTTGACAGGGGAAAGGTTCAATGGATGCCATCCTTGGTGGGGCTGTGGTCCACCCCTTCTGTCATAGTCTGCCCCTGCAGTTCTGATCCCTGAACAGAGCAGCCTGGGCATAGAGATGGGGAGGACATCCCTGGATTGACAACAGGATGGAAGGAGCCAGCAGAGAGATTCCCTGGAGGCCTGGCTTTGGTTCACAAGACAGTCACTGAGGGTCTGGCACTTGGTTGATTTGGGTATCTAATCTGAACCCTCCATCTCCTGATCCCCTGGTACCCATGACCACCTGGACAGCCATTGAGAAACCAGCTCCTCCCACGCTCATGAATGTCTACCTGCAATGACTGGAACTCCCTTTGCCCTCAATCCTGTGATCTTAGGCTCTGGTTTACCCCCAGGTCAGTGACCTGATGTCCCAATATAAAGGAGAGGGTATGTCTTCCAGCCCCTCCTCTCCCAACAGGACTCACCCTATAGTCTTCCCCCAGTCACACCACAGAGTCTTGCCGATGGCTTCCATGTCCTCCTTGAAGCGGGTGAGGCACAGCTCTTGGATGAGAGTGCCATAGTCAGGGTCCCAGCAGGCGGTGACCATGAAGACATGGTGGGCTGCAAAAGACCATCCAGGGCTTGTTACTGGATCTCCTTCCTGGTAGCCAGCTTCTCCCATTGCTTCCCCACCCATCACTAGCCCATCCCAGGAGCCATGAGCACCAAAAACGTGTGTCTGTGTGATCAGGAGATAGCACCCATACTTGCTATGTTGTGGTAAACTAACCCAACAAAAGCAACTCAGGGAGAAACTTAGCACGGATGGTCACACCACATCCACACGCAAGAGCAGAGAGAAGTGAATGCATACGTGTTCGCTTGGTGCTCTGCTCAGCTTCCCCACGTTTACATAGTTCAGGATCCTCTGCCTAGGGAATGGTGCTGCCCACGGTGGGATGAGTCACCCTATATCAATTAAGTTCATCAAGCCAACCACCCACAGACCCACCTGTGGTCAACCCAAGGTAGAAGAGACTCTTCACATCTTCACAGGTAATTTCTGTGTTGTGTCAGATTGATAACTTAAACTGATTCCCATTGTGCCCAAGGCTCCTAATGGACTCTTTCCATAGTCACTTTGTGTATGGAAATCCTACTGACAATGGCATCCACAAGGCGCTTGGATGCACTTTCTGCTGCTGGCAATGGCCTCCATTTTCTCCAAGCTTACCCTGGGCATCGGCACCAGGCACTGCCCTCAAGCTGTTTCACCCCCCCCAGCGTCTTTCTCCGAACACCTGCATAGCTGTGGAAACACAGGTAGCAGGCACAGTTTGCTGGACTGGGCCCGGGACTGCCTCCAAATCTAAGGGCTGACCTCAGCCAGGTGTGCCCCAAACATGAGGGGAGGAACCACTGCTGCCCGGGGGTGGGGGGGGCTTCAGAAAAGGGTCCTGGTCCACCTTGTTAATTTAGCACATGGAGCTGTAATACACTGCCCAGTCCCTGCACACATTCCTTGCGCCTGGGTGTTTGGCCATCATAAACCAAGCTGACAAACTGCAAAGTGAACTGTGTCTTCCCTCTTTAGTCTGATGAAAATACAAGATCAAAAATGATCCCCCAAGCCCCACGTTGCACAAACTCAAAGGCAACCTATTTCCCCGGAGCTCAATACCAGTGGTGGTGGATATGAGTTGGAGGAGAAGGATCTTTCCTTGGCTGCTACCCTCCCATCTGCCAGGTCTCTTTGGATGGACAGTCCATTCTCAGGCTCTTTGGGGAGGAGCTGGGAGTGCAGTCATCAAACCCTTTGCGCAGAGTCTGGCTGCTAACCTGTTAGCCCTCCCTCTCCCGGATCATGCTGGGCATCTTCTCCCAACAAGGACCAACTCCATTCATCAGTCAGGCCATTTCCTATCCCCTGGAAGGGCCCAGAGGGATCCAGGACTGCATAGGGCTCTGTGGGACCCTTGTTGGTCCTCATCAGAGAGATGCGGGATGGGAGAAAGCCTCATCTCATTAGCAACACATCTCAGGAGAAACAGCAAGGTGCTCTTCACTGCTTTGTGGATCAAGGAGACCATTCCAGCAACGGGTGACCCAAGAACTGAGCCCTTGGGTGGGCAGCTGGAGGTCTCAGGCTTGGGAACATGGCTTGGAGAGGGTGGAGACCCAGGACCTGTAGGGTCCAGAGATCACAGAGGAGTCAGTGCTAGGCTCTTCTGAACTGTTGGGTCCCCCATATCTCATACACTTCCATGCTGAAGGGCAGTCTTCTATGACCACCTATTTACTGATGGGGAAGCTGAAGTCTCAGAAATGTGTTGATTTCTCAGTGGTGTTGAGGCAGTGCAGGCTAGGCCTGAACATGGTTGGCTCCCACAGTCTAAGATGTGGTCCTGGTGCTGCCTGGCTTGAGATGAGACCCCCAGGGATGCTTGGAGCATAGCCAGAGAGTCTGACCTGTCCTTTGAGGCAGGAAAGGAAGAGAGGGGGCACAGAGAGGGTGAAGGACAAAGGGATTGGAGGATGCCATCTACAGTGCTGTCCGGAGGAGAAATTACAGGGTGAACAGATGGAAGGGTGAATTCTATAGATGCCCATCTGGCACCTGCCAGCCCAGACCTGGATTCTGAGGACACAGACATGGCAGATGCACCAAGTATCTCACAGAGGGCCAACTACCTGACAAGGACAGATTGACCACAGGCACAATGAACACAGAGCCCAGCAGAGCCCAGGCACACAGCAGAAACAGAGTATCCCCTAGGAAGCAATCCCTACATTCACTTGCTTGTCTCACCATAACCAAGGAAAAATGGCTGGCACAGGACTGCCTGAGCCTGGACAGGGTGCTCAGCATGGTTAGGGCCGATGTTTCTGAAGCTGGGGCAGGGTGGCACAGAGCAGGCCAGGGGTGCACACGGTGACTTCCCCGGTAAGTGAGCTGGGCATGGGAGCCCTCCTCCCATGGTGATAACAGCCCCTGGACCATGTCTCCTGACAGTGTGGTTAAAGCAATGAAAGCAAAGCCCTACATTCGGTTAAAAATAAAAACCCAGATAACACACAAGAGCCCTGTCCCCAGAAGCGTGTGGAGCCACGTGAGGCCTAGTGGCAGAGCTCTGCGAACCTGGACTCTCTCACTGCAGAAGGGCCTGTCACCAGGCTAGTGCCTGCTGCTGAGGCTCCCACAGGCGTCACCTGGGAGGGCAGTTGCTCAGAAAGAGAGGCTGTGTCAGGACAGTGGGCTTAGCACAGAGATGATCACAGCTCTCGGCTGGGACTGGTGAGGAAGGAGGCTAGGTGCTGGGACACACCAGAGTCCTGAGAGCGAAGGGAGACGCTGGAGGACCTTTAGGGAAAGTTCTGGAGTAGTCGTGGGTGGAGACCGCCTCAAGGGAAAGGCTGACATGGAAATGGCTCCTGGGAGGCACTCCAGAGAAGATTCAGCGTACAGCCTTCGGCAGGAGATCTGGGAAGAGCCGTGGGAGGGGCTGCTGGAAATGTTCTGGCCCCCACCCGGAGCTCGGGATGCTCAGAAGGCAGCAGACCCCACCTCCACGCCCCAGGGTTCTCTGTACCCACTTGAACTCATGCAGCAGCTCAGTGTATGTATGCCCAGGCCACACGGGCACAGTGAGTGCACCTGGGGACCTCAGAGTCAGCTGTGCACACAGAGGAGACTGGGGAAGGGGTAACCTGTCACCCCTGTGCCACCAGGATCTCTTGTGGAAGCCTTCCTGTGGGAGACAGGAAGCACCAGGTACACAGTGAGCTCCGAGGATGGATATGACCCGCAGTCTCACGTGAGGGTCAAGGGTCCTCTCTGCATTTGTCCCCTATACTTTATGATTCCTGGCACCTAGACTTGGCCTGTGCCTCATCTGGTCCCTCCTCCCATGAATTCTATGCTCCAAGCTGCCCTCCCTCACTGCCCTAAAGCCTGAGGAAGACACCACACCCTCCACAGCCACAACCACATCCTGGGTGCTCATGGTGAGGGGGCCAAGGCGCCTTTCTCTGAAGCTTTTGTCTCTCGTTCGTTTCTGACTCATTCAGGCGGTCCTCTCTGCACGCAGCAGAGCGGCACATTAACATCCATCAAATGCCTGAGATACCCACACTGGGCTGTCAAGGAACACTACTATGGGTGGAAGCCAGGGTGCCCGAGGGCATCCCTGGTACAAGGGACAGGCAACAGAGGGGCGAGAGTGCCTGTGGTCTTCCTTCCTGTTCTGGAAGGATCAACTTTAGGGCAGAGAAGGGGATGCCTCAGGGAAGGTTCTGAGTGACATCTGTTAGAACCCAATGTGCACTGACATCAGTATTGAGGAGATCTGCTACAGGCACCTGGTGTCTCCAAGGCTCCTGTGAAGGATCCAGGGAATCAGGAGATACACACAGAGCCAGTTCTCCAGAGAGGCTGTGATATCTTCTGTGGAGAAATGGTCCCCAACAGGGAGAAGGGTGCTAAGTGGCTGGGGACCATGCCCCCTCCACACTGTCTGGGGAATGACCCCCTCCCTGCTCTTTCGCCTTCAAGACCAAGATCTCCTGGCTTGTTTTAGTGTCCCCCTGGTCTGGCTGCAGAGCTGAGCTTACCTGGCCTGGCCTTTGTACCTCCCATTTTCCTCAAGTCACCCCCACCTCCTAAAGGGGGACCTGCTATGCCCAGCACCTCACCCTCTGCTATACTTATTCTTTCCTGTCTTGGAGAATGCAGAGCCCACATCCACACTGTGGCCATGGGCAATTCCGAAAGCAGATCCAGAGAGCAGCTTTATTTTTAATCTTTCTTAAAGGATAGGTGACAGTAAATGGTCAAACTGTCCCAAGCTGTAAACTCACCTTTTGGAGCCAAAGGGCCCATTCTGTGTGCTGGCAAATGCTATCTTCTGAAATCCAGACTGAGGCAATATGGCTCCCTCAGCTGCCTGTCAGGACAGGCGCTCCCCTAGGCTGTGCATAACTTAAGAATTCGGTATCGCAGCTGGGCTCCTTCTCTCTTATATTTTTGGTTGTGAGCCTAGCCTTTAACGGCTGAGCTATCCCTCCAGCCCTGGGCTCCTTCTCTCTACTACTGGAAAATGCCCCAACTGAGCATAAATAGCATCATACCCAGACAGAAGCTACCATAGGTTTGGGTATCAGGAGTGGTGGTGCTGGCCATCATCTTGGAGTATGTTTGCCTCAGAAGTCCTGCAGGCTCAGGGCCTCTCAGACAGCAGCATCACCCAGGGCTAGGATAACCCCTGTCCTCAGAGGCTCTGAGACTACAGGAGAGTCGCAGGAGATGATGGTCACTCTCACATCACAGTGATGCCCAGCAATTACCAGGCACCGGGAACAGCATGTTCACTCCACTACCCTCAGTGATAGAGGAACTGGAGATGATGGAGAGAACAAGGCTGTCCGGAGAACACGAGGGCAAGCAGATAATAATCTTCTGCACCGTCTCCGCCCCTTACCAGGTCTTCAGGGCATCTTCCATCCGTGGGGTGGCTCTGCCATCCCTAAGACTCATCCTACACAGTCCCAGGAGAACAAAGGCTTTTCATCGTTTGACATGTTGGCAACCCAGCTTTTTAAGTAGGTCTGTCTGGAATCTTTTC